CGACAAATAATGTAGGGTGCTTCGACTACTACCCTAACCCCTTTCCAGAAGTAGTAAATCAATAGGGATTTGAGCCTCTACCTTTTGATGAAAATAAAGTCAGACCTGGCATACAGCTCAGTAATACTACGGCCCAGGCTCAGATTTGGAGGTTTAGTTGCAAAACACTCGTAAGGGTTCCAAAGCTTATCTAGATAGGGTTAAAGTGTGGTCCGGCAGGAGCACATTCTCATTTGGCTCGACCAAATCAGTCAAATGGGGAATATGTGTGACCAAAAAAAAATCAGTCATGGGGTTTGGTGGGTTGTTGAAGTGGAGTCCATGAAAGCACTCAACACACTATCACCACGTATTGAAAGATCGTGGCTTCTTTGTAGCGACACGTATTGAAAGACCATGGCTTCTTTGTAGGGATGGATGATATGTGTACGAGAAAACGCGTGAAGAAGCTTCACCTCGATTCCGCCTTCGTCCAAAAGATTCTCCTGCGACTCAAATTTTTGCGAGGGTTTTAAAATCAATTTTCAATTCAGATAATAGTATTTAAAATTCAAAAAATATTATAGATCTTATGAATATGTAAACACTTATTTTATAGCGAAATAGATGGTTTAAATAATATGTTAAAATATATACTATTTTTTTAAAACTTAAAATCCCAATTTTTTATATAGTTCAAGCCGAGTTGAGCGATGCAAATGTTTTGAAATGTTTGAAGTGTAATTTTTTTATGAGTTATGAGGTGAGGCTTTACTTGATAGCGTTGCACTCCTATCGTACTATTTTCCAAATTTGTTAACAAGCAAATATTTTGTGCTCTTGAGGGAGCACACTATCAATTAACTTCCCTTACTAAAAGCCCAATATAGAAGTACAGACCCCAAATTTTGGCGATTAACCTTTCCAATTTATATGCAATGCTCGATAGAAAAATTTCCTAATTGCCTTCTTGATCGGCTTGAAAAAAAATAATGCCTCAAGATTAAATAAAAATCATCTAATTTTTAAAGAGTGAGATCTAAACGTTAGAAAACTCAAAATTTAATTTTTTATTTTGAATATAATCATTTAGGGGTTTTTAGGTGATTTTCAAAATATCAGATAAAAAAAAAAGCTTCCCAAGTTAGTCTTTTCCCCGAGGGAGTAAGTATACAGTAATTCTCCTATAGGAGCATATGGTAATATAGGCTCTTTATTAAAAGGGTGTGGTGTGTATAAGTATCAGCGGAAAACTATCAAAGGAATGTGTAACTGTAAATCTTGATAAAAAGATGTAGTTTCTCCGTCACCGAATCAATTGCGTAGAAGTCTATTTCCAAATTTAAAGTTAAAAAAATAATGAAGATCCAGTTGATCTATTAAACACTTAATTTTTTTTAAAAAAATAGATTGTTTAGAAAATATATTCAAGATACATTATTTTAAGGGCTAGAAATCGTTTTTTTTTATATCCATATATCTCGAGGTCAATATGATCAATTGAAAAGCTTTTCTATATTAGAACAACCTTTTTCAAGTATATTTTCTAGGTACATGTTACTTCTACAGTATAAATTTTAGACCTTATCTTATATAAACTTTTTCTTTATAAAGAGTGCAAGTATCAACTATTTAATATTTTATTTTATGTCTATTCATGTAACATCTCAATCAATTGTCTAAGTGAGAAAATAACCTCAATTATTGTCCTCCCTAGCATAAAACCAAATTGATTTTATGATATACTCGTTTCATGCCATAGTCGTTGTTCAATCACTCTCTCTCACAACTTCATAGTATGACTAACAAGTTTGATTCCTCGATAGTTCGCACAAGGGGAAAAAATAATACTAAATTGTAGGTTAAGGATATCATGTTTCCAGTAATGTTAAATACATTAAAGAAAGGAAAAAGTTTATATAAGATTGCAACCTTAAATTGTAGAATTAAAGATGCACCTCAAAAATCCATTGAAAAAGGTTGTTTCAATGTTAAAAAACCGTCTAATTGATCATATCGAAATCGAGATGTATGAATATGAAAAAAAAAAATATTTTGAGTCTCAAAAATAGTGCATCTTGCAACACATTATCTAGACCGTCCATATTCAAGATTTTTATATGTTTATAGACCTACTTGATTTTAATCATTTTTGAAGTTTAAAATTTTATAATTAAATATAAAAATAGATTTTCAGATAATCCTAAAAATGTTTTAACCCAAAATTGTTATGATAAAATTTAGAGGTGCGCCTTAATTTGATTGTTTAAGATTGCAACCTTATAGAAACAACCCCCTTAAAAAAATGCTCCATAAGTAAAAGTAACCTAAAAAAGCAAAACCTTAAAATTCAATGGTAAGCCCAAAGACCTATGACTTTTGTAGAGGGATCATGGAAGGCACTTCCTAATGATCGCTTCAAGTTGAATATTGATGGGTGTCTTTTCAAAACCCTGGTGGTGTAGTGTGGGCAATAGCGGAATACGAAACGGGTTACTTTATTGCTGCTTTTGCAAATCCACTTCTAGTCGCTTCAAACAATTTAGCTTAGTTTAAAGCCTGAGAAGCTGGGTTCAACCTAGCTGCCCAGTTGCAATGCTTCCCTCTACCCATCAAAACTGATTCCTAGATCCTCATTGACACTATGCGTTTCGCCCCATTGAGGTTACATACCTTTGCTGCTAACTGTTTATAAATTATCCTCTAGCGGTTACTAATAGACGATTTTTCATGTCTATCGTGAGGCGATTATGGTGGCAGATTCTTTGCATAATAAAGTTGTCACTCTTTCTAAAGCTACTCTTTCGAGAGCTCTCCTACCAAACTTTTTTACTTTTGTTGCTTTCCTTAGGGATGTAGAAGGAGTGCGCCATGACAGGGCTGTACTATGATATGCTTGTAATTCTTCTCGTTTTTTTTTGAAGTGATTTACACATGTACTTTAAAACTCATGGGCAAGCTTTTTATGTTTCCCCTACACCTTAAAACTTATATACTTCCCCTTATCCAACTGTCTTTGAATGGAGGGCTAAGATTGCTCCAATCACAATGTCATGTCTATATACTATTTAATTTTTATTTTTTTTCTATAAACTATTTTGACACCAAATTTTTTGCCGCACTATCGAAAAATCTTAAAAAAAAGAATTACCAATAAATAAAATGACTAAAATACCCCTGAAAATTTCAAGGGTTATTTTGGTTATTATATTTTATTGAAACGTCATTTTTAATATTTTTTATAGGTCCG